TTATAAAACTTTTGACTATCGATCGATTCGTTAATATTGTAACCACTCGTACGGTTTGACTCCCCGGGCGGTAAATACCAGCCGTCAAAGTTACCTTTATATACCGTTCCCGATATTAGTTTGTAGTATCCGTACCTAAGCGCCCACACCCCCATAATTGGGTCTATGTTATGTAGTAAGTGCTTGCGAGGGTTATCCAGATTATTTATTAATATATCCCACATATCTATACCATCGATGGGCCCCAAAGCCTTGGGTTGACCGCCCACTGCCCGGTACAGTGTGGGCAACCAATCGGTTAAATGCATTAAGTGTTCGCTTATGTATGTGCTGTTCAATAGGGGACTCCATATTAAACCGACGCCCCGTATCCCACCCTCAAACAGGGTACACTTTGAGCCTGGGTTTAAATAAAGTTTTTTTAATTGAATTAAATTATTCTAACGTATAAGGAGATAGTTTTAAAATAATTCATTTGATATAAACATTATAAAGCTATTTAATGTATTTATGAATTTTACAAATAAAATAAAATTTTGTGTATCTGTAATCTAATTTCCAATAAATTTTTATTATAATAAGTAAGTCAAACTGTGAATAATTATATAATTATTTGGTAATACCATATTATACCATTATCATTGTCTTTATTTGGTTTATATTATTAGAGACCTTAATAATTTTACATACTATATCACATATTTATTAATTATATCACACACAATAATTATAGCTAAAACTGTAAATGTTTATATTAAATGCTTTATGATAGTTATTTATGAAAATAATTATTTACTAAATGGATTTGTTATGCCAGTCTCAACAATATTAATTTAAATTAATATGATATCTATATCTTTTAAAAATTATTTTTATCCCCTATTTATTACAGTATTGTAAATATAACAAACCTCTTAAGGGCCAGTTAGATCCAACGCTATAATCAATACTGGACCCTGGCGCAGTACCCCTTGTCGACCCTCCATTATCAGTGGTAAACACAATGATTGTATTATTCAAAATATCGGCCATTTTAAGGGCTGCCATGACTTCGCCCACGGAATCGTCCAGAGCTGATACCATACCCACAAACGTGCGCCTATCGAGATCCTGGACATCCCGGTGCCTATCAATCAGATCTTGAGGGGCTTGAAGTGGTTGACGACGACTAGCGGAGTGAACCGATTGGTGCGATAAATACAGGAACAGGGGTTTCGACGAGGAGTTAGCCCTTTCCCGGATTATGTCGACCGCCCTTTCCGTATATATGTCGGTCGCATACCGGCCCTCATATTCAGTAGTGTTTGCGGGGAGTTCTCCGTTACGGAAGTCCAGTGCCCACCAGTTTTCAGCCGAAGTCCGGTCGTAGTAGTCTGACTGACCCGTCCAGTACCCGAAATGTGAATCAAACCCGCGGCGGGTCGGGAGGTATTCCCGACGATGAAAACCCTGATGCCATTTGCCCACAGCGTGTGTCTCGTAGCCTAACTCTTTGAGATATTGTGGTAATAGTTTGTATTGTAGTGGTGTCCCGAATGGTTGTGCACCCTAGCATGTCAAATACACAAATTATTATTAACAATATAAAAAATATATTTTATAAATAATTGATTTTTTTGAAGCTTATATTAACTGGAAAATGACTACCTACTACTATGTGTACAAGTTATTATTAATAATAGTCATTAATAACCGAGATAAATATGTAATGAATGCCAAAAATTATAAAATCATTAACTTGGTCATCATACCTGGAAAACATCGTGTTGAGTGCCAGTGTGTATGGGATGATAGCCGGTTAAGATGGCACTCCTAGAGGGCGAACATAGCGGTGATGTGTAGTAATTGTTCAAAATGATCCCGGTGCTGGCTAATAGATCAATGTTAGGCGTTTGGGCCTGTTGTGAGCCGTGAAAGCTGACGTCTCCCCAACCTATTACCAAAAATATGCTAGTTAATTAATTTATTAATTTAACAAATTTTGTGTATATTACCTAGATCATCAGCGATTATGAATACAATGTTAGGTCTCTCACTACAAAATATTGTGTTTATCATAAAATAAATTACAATACATAAAGATTGCATTTTATCAATCAATTTATTATGAATATTAATTGTTATGAATTATTTTTTAAATAATAAATTATTAAATATTATATCAATAACTATCATAATTATAAAATACTTTTATAATTAATTTTTTATGATGATTCAGTGTAATATTAATAAAAATCAAAACCATTGTTTTACAATCATTGGGTAAATTATTGATTTAATTTTTTATCTCATGGGATTAATTGTATGATTAAACAATAAAAATCAGAAAACACACAGATGTGCATTATCACTTTATAAATAATATTATATTATATTAATGTTATAACAAAAGTAATATATAAATAAAATCAATTATACGCTTATTTTAAAATAAAATTAAAATCCCTGTCAAACAAATTCAATTAAACTTCACAAATGTTTAATGAAATCAAAGAGTTATTTATTTTAATAAATGAAAATTAGTCTCAAAAACAGCCACTTGTCTCACGAGTGCCATCAGATCCCTTTCCTCCGCACCAGACATCCCATAACCGTTTGAATCAATCATTTTTGGCAACGCCTTCAGGAAATGCTTTAAATTAAAGTCCGCTAACAATAGGTTCGCCGCAAACGGGTTCGGCCTATAAGACCACTGTCCCCTCACATACTCATAGGTTTCTGACATATATCACACCGGACTAACATCAGAGCCAGTAGTCTAACAAAAACGCCGTTTTGACACTAATTTTCATACAACTCTTTGTACCTCCGTCGGGAATAATCATTGAATTGATGCATTGGCTTCACTCCCACTCCCGAACACTCCCTCAGAAAATCCTTTGCGGGACTCCCACTCCCGCACATAAGGTTTGGCTGGACTCCCGCATCACTCCCTCCACTCCCGCACATAACGACTACAGGGCCTGCGCTACAAGCTATAACACACATACATTCAGTGCTGTGCTATGTTAGCGACAGAATATTACTATATAATGCTTATCTACATAATGCAAACGCTATGCAAAGGCAATGAGAGTGCTATATAACGCGGGAGTGAGTGAACGCATAGCATAGAGTGTATTCCATACACATGTTTTTGCTAATGCGAGTCAGTGCGGGACCTCACTCCCGCGCTTGCTTTGCGGGATTCCCACTCCCGCGCCTCACTCCATAAACTGTAGTCCCACTCCCGCGCGCGGAAGCAGGTCCCGAGTAAAACCCCACTCCCGCGGGACCATTTCTTCGCTGACTAGTCGGGAACTTCCGGGAAATTACCTAAAGTTTTCTCATCAAAATTCCCGAATATTTGAGGGAATTTTGCGGAATTTACTTTAAGCCACTGTTCCCACGGGCCCCGTAGCCCATGAAAGTAGACCCTCTCGCTGGGTGTGTGACCCACTTGGGAGCACCGGTCGAAGCACATAAGGAGGGGGTCCGTGAGATGTTGGGTCCGCGCGTGGTGTCTGTGAGCGTAGGCCCGGGTTTCCGGGGTTAGGGCGTCCGACATGAGTAGTCTCTGCACGTAATCCGTGTCTAAAAGCTCTCGGTGTATGTCATGAAATGAGTCGATTAGGCGATCGCCTAAGGGTTTGTTGAGATTTGTAGACATTTTTGTATTGAGCTAGTAACTTTTATAATAATGTTTACAGATTAGATTTTCATTCGTGGTTATACCATTTTTAATTAACTTCCCATATGGTTAAATATTTAATTATTTTATGGCTATGTTACATAGCCTATGTATAAGTAATACACGTGTATTTACTTATAGACATTGTAAAACATTTATTACTTTTTATTTACTTGTTAGTATTTCAGAAACTTATTTATTGTATTTTATTTAATATTAATAGTAATACATATTATAATAGCTTTTAAAAACTAAGTAATAATTCTAAATATTGTGTTTATTAATATTTATTTGACTAATACTAATAATAGGTAAGTAATGTATGCCATTATAAAATATTTTTATCTACTGTTACAATAATAATTATTATTCTCATATGTTAAAACTATTTTTAATCCAGATTATTTATCATTAACATACTTATATACAAGCGTTAACAAAATAGTAACATATAACATCAGGGTATTGAATGAGAGCACCGACACTCCGATCCACATGCCTATAGTCCCACCGATATTGTAGTGATTCAGCAACATCAGGTATCGGTACACAAGCGACTAAACACCGAGTTATATTATCAACCCTTAATTTAACTAGTTCCATCTTAAGTTTAAGCTTGAGTAAAAATTATATAAGTGAAGTTACCCTTTTCTAAGGCATGACTCGTGGTAGAAAATATCCGGGATACATTTTTTAAGCGAGTTTCTATAATTTGTCCAGTTAAACCCTACGAATGAGCTGTTATTTAAATAACAAAATTTATATTTAATAGGATTGTCCATGTTAACCACGTAGTTAGCAATAAATGGTAGGCAATTTTTTTAAGCGAGTTTCTATAATTTGTCCAGTTAAACCCTACGAATGAGCTGTTATTTAAATAACAAAATTTATATTTAATAGGATTGTCCATGTTAACCACGTAGTTAGCAATAAATGGTAGGCAATTAAATGTATGATTAATTACGTTCAAATGACACTTGTCTATAGAACCATGCTCATATTCATTATAAAATAAATCGCCATATGATTGTTTAAATTGCAAACATTTTTTACCAAGGCGTGATAGTTGTGAATACGTATAGAATGTATACATGATATTTGTTTTACTATTGGGTTCTATGGGAAATGATTTTTGTTGATCAAATAATTTGATAACTGTAGCTAGCTTATTTTGATTTACATTATTAAATTTAAACCCGATTCTGAGCACACGATTGCTATTTAACAATGACCTCGCTAAGTTATTATCAAACGATCTCGAAATATTTATAAAAAATGTTTTCGATATAATTATATCCCTGACCTGCCCATGGCCCTTCGTAAACATAATCGATGTCTCATGTAAGGGACACTCGATTCGCGATTTGTCACTTAATTCAAAGTAGCATGCTACTAAATTATTTTCATAATCATGCACTAAATGCCGAAAAAGGTCCATGTGCCCATTTATCAACAATGATCTATGCAACATATGTTGTATTTTATCTAGGCCAATAGGGTTATTATTGTACATTTTAATTAGTAAAGTTATGTTGGGATAAATCTTTTCTAAAATCGAAAAATTTCGAATGTTAGGCAAAAATGCAAAGCTGACCATGGGTATTTTTAAGACATTGAGCAACTCAATATGCATTTTATTATTATAATTTGAAAAATCGTTATAAATGTCCATTAATTGAGAGCACATGACGCATATGCATAAAATGAACATAATCATATTGAAATATTTAATTAGTTCATGAAAATTGTACCTTGAATAAATGTTTCTTTTTAATCGCCTTATGGTATCACTTATTAAACAAAATATTATTTTAAAAATTGAATAAACACTGACTCCATACCACATTCCCATTAGGCCTCCTAAAGTGGACAGATATGTTACAAAATCCGTTTTTGGGCTAATGCCCCAGATCATGTTCACTTTATTACAGTATTTATAAAATATAATTTTTTTCTCGTAGCCAATCATTTTATGGTTTATTTTCATAGCTTGCTCATTTATGCTGTAATATGTTATATAGTGTTTGCATTCAATTTTACACTTACGTTGCAATAATCGATAATCAGATGGTACGACACATTCATTAGTTTTATTTTTAGAATGTACCTTGGTATTATTAGGTAATACATATGAAATCCAAAAATAATTTTGACCACACTTTTTAAGCTCCAGTTCCCTCATCACAGCTAACATACAGTCGCTCCGGGATTTATAGCCACCCTTTCCCGGATCACGATTGGCCTCATAGTCGTAACAGTCTGTCCGATAGGGTTGGGGTAAAAGTGTTTGCAGTTTTGTATTGATCAATAAATCGTAAATCGTATTAGCATGGTGCATTTTAGTGAATTTAATAAAATGCGAGTAGGAGTGCTGTGAATGTAAGGCAAATTTGACCCGATCAAAATTAATTATGTCTATCGAGACAGACCATCGTCGAAGATCTTTACGAAAGCTATAGTAGTAATCGGTTAGAAATGATATACAGTTACCGGTGTCAGTTAGATGCCGATAGTAAATTGGTGATTGAGATGAGCAATCAGAGGACTTAACATTATACTCGGTTGATATTTTGCAAAATATATTATATTTATGCAATGAGTTGTTATTTAATTTATTATGATAATAACATATTGTGATAGATGAGTTATAGTTTATTGTATCACGGTCAATAGTATATTTGGTATCGTTAATGTATTCGTACTGCAAATAATTAATAGTCTGGTCACATATTTGATATATCAATACACAGATTACAATGAATTTAAAAAATATATTAAAATATTTAATACTTATCATGTTTAAAAAACTACTATTACAAATAATTTACTAAAAAATCATTGTTAAGTTATAATATTTTTAGTCAATAAACAAATTTAGCCTTGTTGAATACAGTAATTTTACTAGTAATATAAAATTGGCATTATATTTAACATAAACACTTCTGACATTAATATCTACTGTATTAAGTTTAATTAAAATATATAAATTCATTAATGTATTTTTAAATGATAATAAATATATGTTTGATGATTATTTATAAACCTATAAATTATTATTTTCAATTTGTTCCTGATACGCTATTATACTCAATTGAACGATGATATTTTGATGTTTATGCTAATTATACTGTACTTGTACATACACGTGTTTAGAGATCGTAATTATTTTAATATAAAAGTTTTGGCGTATACTTTTGACATACTATAGTAGCTTTTCAATCATTAATAATATTATAATTTAATTAAGGTGTCATTTATGCATACAACACAGTTTAGCATATATATTAAAAATATTTTTCTATACTGTAGTATATTTATATGATAAGCAGTTTTAGATTTTATTTTTATTTTCTCATAATAGATATAATATTTAATAATTAATAACAAA